GAGTTTTCTTGGCAAAGATACTGGAGTGGCTTGCCAGTTCCTGCTCCAGGTGGATTGTGGTTAGTCAGAACTCTCCACTATGACCTGTCCGTCTTGGGTGCCCCTGCATGGCATAGCCCATAGCTTCTCTGAATTACTCAAGCCCCTTCGCCATGACAAGGCAGCAGTCTGTGAAGGGGACCTTGGTAACACAGGATAATTGTGGCATCCGATAGCTCCCCCCTCCGCCCCTTTTAAAAATGTACGATGCTTTTGTGTGCTGAATGCATCAAACACAGTGTCTTTCAGGGACAGTATTCAATAACACTCACTGGATTAATATTATTTTTAAACTAATTAAAAGGGCATTACCAGTACAATGTCTTGGAATCCTCCTGAGCTTGTGCATGAACTGCTGGATATCTGCGGAGGCTAATCCTTTCCCCTTTCCCCTCTGAAGGTGAGCTGGGCTGCAAATAATCCTGCTGGAAGCAGAACCTCTTTATCAAAGACAGATCTGTGTACTATTTGCCTCTTACTCAAACTAATGCAGTGAGGTTTAATAATGGGAGGAGGGTAGCTCATTTGGCCCTGCTGCTTAGCCTTGCTCTTCTCTATACTTCTTGTTGTCAAGGAAAGAGAACTCTTCTGTGGTATGGAAATCATCCCTTTGGTTCAGTAGAGCAGGAAGAAGGCAATTTCTTCTTGAAAGTAGCTTGGCAGCCAGAGGACGGGAAGGGTCTAAGCAACCTGCACAGTATACTGAGCATTTTGGGGCCGCTTCAGTTCAGTTGCCCCCAGCTGGGGTTGATAAAACTGTGCTTGCTTTTCTGGATTAAAACCAGAGGCATCATCTGCTTTTAACACCAGGAGAAAACATTACTTTTACCTGGTGCATTTTCTGCATTTCTTTCCAACCTCTCCTCTAGTAAGTTCAAGGTGGCAGCATATGTGACTCCCCTTACACACACCCTTTTATCCTCAGAAACTACCTTGCAAGGAAGGACAAGCAGAGAGACCTTGACTGATCTAAGGTCACCAGTAAGTGTAAGGGTTCAGAAGTGACTAGAACCTGGATCTCCCATGTCCCAGTCCAGAACTCTAAACCACCATATCGCAGTGGCTTTTTAAGGGAGAACCATTTCTAGACTATTGCTTTTCTACCTATCATCATTGTCCAATGCCTATAAAGCAAATTCTTAAAATATTGCATTAAAGTAATTAAATCAGAAGAACGGTGAAAGAAAAAGAAACCCAACTTACCAGAAGTCATATTTCTGGTCCTGGTGACTGGCAGCATGGTGGCAAGTAATCTGTCATCTTCTGACTCCCAACAGCCTCTATAGCTGCATCAGTTTTTCCTGCACTTACTCTGGCCAGACATGGTCTAAGGGGGCGGGGGTTTGGCTTTAGATTACTGTGGGCCGAGCTGCGCACCTTCTCTGATTCTGTTTTTTGCTCTGGTCTGGTGGATGCCACGGCCAAGTGGCATTGCATGCACCTGGGGTGCAGGAGGGTTTGGGGGGTCAGATCATGCTTCTGCACTATTGGGGAGTGGGCCGGGTAGATGAGGCTTGTCAGCCTTGGAGGGCAGCCCGTCTGGGGGAGGGAGGACTCCGGTTTCAGACCTCTGCTGCCTTGTGGCTGTGTCCACTTGAGGCGGGGTCCAGAGCCGGAGCCCCGGAGGCAGATCGTGTCATTCTGCCAACTCCTGCGACGTTGCTGGAGCCAGTTGTATTGGCTCTTGCCTTTCCATTGGACTATTTCAGTGACATGGAGAGGGGGGATTTGCTGCTTGGGTGGCAGTCTATCCTCATGTTGATTTGGCCCAGGCTTCGTGCTCTGGAGATGACACTCCAGCTTCACGTACAGCGTCGAAACAGCACAGAAAGGGAATGTCACTCTCGAATTGGCCTTCTCAGCCACACTAGACGCTGTTCCAAGTCCTCCATACAGAGCACGTTACCGGTCTCTTGAGACTGAAGGATGCCTTGTCAACTCTGGCTAGACAAGTAGCTTGGATGCCTGTTGGACGTGGCTCTCTGTAGGCAAACTGGAGTGGAGAAGTATTCACTATAGTCTGCCTGTGGTATTTAGTCACCTCCCTGGATGTCTCCAGCTCAGTCTTCAACTGGACTTTCCTCAGTTTGTGGGTGCATTCACAGACTCTTATAGCTAAAGTTTTGTATATACAGATTACTGTAGCTGCAATTTACATCACACGTGTTCCCCGTAGATTTTCTGTCATCAGTTCTTGTGGCTTTCTTTATTATTTCAATAGTAATTGCTAACAATACATTTGTGTGAATTGTGGGCAGTTATGCCCATAGGAGCATGTCTAGTTTAGGGGATTGGAGCAGGTGGGGCCCCTATCCCAAGTTGGGGTCCTGTTTGGAGATCTTGGGGATGAAGAATAACAAGAGTGTGCCCAGGAGGATGCTTTAGTCTTTGCAACAGATGGCAGGAGACCCTCTCAGTGGTCTCGTATCCGGAGGGGGGGGCACCCTGTTTCCTGACAAAAGGGCTGGGAGGATGCATCAGCGGATTGATTGGTCACCCGATGCTTGGTTTCAGTTGCCCTATCCTGCAACTAGGCTGTTTTCTGCTGTAATCAATAAAGTGTGTTCATTCCTTTATATGCCTTTCAATGAAACTGCAGTGCCTTGTTAGAGGGTTTGAAACTGTGCTTTCAGATGTGCTACCTGTGTCCACAATAAATCATAAAAATCCAGCTAACCAAATAATGGGAGAACAAACAAACAAAAAGATTTACTCTTGCGCCAGAAGGACAGTCAGATGAAATTCCTTCAGGAGAACATTTACCGAATTAAGGGAAAAGCACCATTGAAAAAAGCCCCTCTCTCATGAGCCCCAGATTTGCCATTGAGGTGATGTTAAGCGAGATGCCTCTGTAGAGTACACGCACAGTACAGCTCCCATTATCCTTGACCATTGGTTATGCTGGCTGTGGTTAAGTCAAAAACGTACAACCTCAGAAATAATACTTCAGTCCCTACTGTTGTCTTCCGCACATATTTATTCAGGGCTTCCAAGACTCAGGAGGCACCTTGATGATTTGCTCCCTGATGCTCTTCAGCCTACAGAGGGGGCCAAAGGGTCTTGCCTCAGAACCCTTAGGCTATTCTCATCCCCACATGAAGCAGTGAAGTATCTGTTTCTTAAAAACCAGAATACTTTTTTTCCCGTCTAAGATCTTTTGAAATAATTGAGGAAGTTCCTATTTGGCCATCCCTTTGCAGCCCATGGACCACATTCAATCCTCAAGAGCCCCACTCCTCTCTTCTCCATCTTCTAGTCATGCCTGGTTTTGAAACAAGGGTTTCATGAACTAAATAAGATGTGAGAGGAATGGCATTAAATGATCAATAACAAAACCCTATAAGGCATGATTAGCCACTCTTGGCCATTAACTCTCATCCCCACACCAAGATTGGGGTTGGGGAGGAAGGAGGTCAGGAGTTAGGGACAGCCCTTTAAGTTCCTGGCATAATGGATACAACCCTGAACCTCTGGAAGTTTCCCACCTTTAGTTTACTACAAAATGGGCAACAGGAGCAAAGGAGTTTGTTGTTTTATGCCACTTGCTCAAATTAAAACTTAAGGATGAGTATAAGATAGTGTTGAGAATGATCCATATTACTGTTTGTCTCTGCTCATGTATATTGCTCAGGTATATGTATTTGTCGTTTAAAAATGTAATACACATGTAAAAATAGAAAATATAAACAGCCTTTCTGAACTCATTATATGGTTTTTACTTATGGTAGTTATTAAGAGAAAGTCTTCTTGCAGCCAGCTACTTTTCAATTATTTCTTTTCCTTTCAGATTACAATCTCTGAATATTTTCTTATGCCTTCTAACAAACAGTGCCTTGCAGATTTTTTTCCTGAGACATAAACTTCTCTAATATTTTCTGGTTTTTTTCTCCTTATTCCCTTTTTTCACTCTGACATTTGGCTGCTGTAGAAGCTAGGGTCCTCGAGGTTATGATGCAGTGATTGACTCTGACACATGATTCCTGCACTTGTTATAGGGTTCAAAGAGAGTCCTGAGATCCAATGAATATGTTCTACCCCCTGGAGGATTGATGGAGACTGACCTGGAACTGACATTTTCATTGCAGGTAATATGAACTTTCTGAGCCAGAAAGCAGATCTGGGTCCTTAAGAGGAATAGTGAATATCCTTGCCTGTGTCTTGAGATAGTGAATAGACAACACCTTCAGGAGTGGCAGTTTCCAGGGTTTCTTTTTAATTCTGTTATCTAAACGCCAACATGTATGTTTTGGTCTTCACTATATGTATGGTGTTCTTACAGAAAAATAGGGTTCATGCTTACTCAGAAGCACCTCTCACTGTATTTAGTGGGACAAATTCCAAGTAAACATATCATCGAATGTCTGCTTAGGGTTCTTTCAGAAGCTAGGGTGCCTGAATGATTTTCCATGGGGTAAAGCATGGATAAAAGAAAGCAAGAGAGGTCAGTGTTGGTTGGTTGGTTGGTTGGTTGGTTGGATTGATTGATTGATTGATTGATTGATTTGATATATACCGCCCATCTAGATTGTGTCTATTTCTTAGGTTCTGTGCCACATGGGTCGCCAGAAATGCCTGTCTAAATCCTTCTCCTTCTCCTCCTTCATGTCTAGTATCCCCACTTCCTGAAAAGAGATGGCAACAAGCTCCAAATCATGCTGCAGCGCAGAAAGAGGTACAAGAACCGCACCATTTTGGGCTACAAGACTCTGGCAGTGGGCATCATTAACATGGCTGAGGTAAGTAGAGCAGCAGGACTAGACGGGGCGATCAGCATTTTGGAGTGGGTGGGGAAATAAGAGGGACTCGGAAGAGGCACCAGGACATTTTCCTTGGCGCTTTGTGGCCATGTTCACTGCTCATATGAGGCCAACTTGATAACTCAGCGCTTGAGCACACATTTTACATGGGAGCCCCAGAAATGGTTGTTTGACATAGTATCATCAATACTGACTGGTAGCAGTTCTGCAGACCTTTTCAGAACTTTCCTTGAGATGTAGGGGGTTGAACCTGGGACCTTCTGCATGCAGAGTTTTAGCTTTGCCGTGAGCTCTGGACCTTCTATCTTTTACATACAGAAAGTCCCCACATCCAGAGACTGACCTGTCCACATAAAGCTGGATATAACATCTAAATAAAACCCAGGAGAGACATGCCAGTCAACATTGACAATGCTTAGTTATTTGCAGTTGGGAAAAGGCAGCTGTTTGTGTTGAAAGGCCTCCTGCAACTAATCTATTTATTACCCAGGTTATGCAGCATCCCACAGATGGAGGGCAACTCCTGGGCTTGCACAGCAACATCAAAGATGTCAGCATCCGGGTAGCCGAAATCAGCATCTATTCCCTTTCCAGCCAACCCATTGACCATGAAGATGGACAAGTCCCCTCTGGTCCCAAAATCAAGGCTTCTGGTAATATATTCATCGTAGAGTGATGCCTTGTAGCAGTGGTTCCCAAGCTTGAGTAACCCAGGTGTTCTTGGACTGCAACTCCCAGAAACCCCAATCAGCTAGTGCTGAAGACTTCTGGGAGTTGCAGTCCAAGAACACCTGATTACTCAAGGTTGGGAACTGTTACCTTAAAGGTTCCCAGCCGGCCCCATCCTCACCCTTTCTGGATAAGTTGGAATACAACTGGTGGTAATGGTGTCTGTACTCCAAATCATCTAGGGAAGAGCCAGGATGAGGAAAGCCTGTTCACTAAAAGTTCCCTTTCATTTTTGAATTGGTTGCTAGAAAATCCTTTGGGTCATGTTCTCACTAAAGTCCTATAGTCCTTAACCACACCGGGACTTTCCCCTCTCACATGACAATGCAGAATGATTACTCTCTTACACTTACTCTTTTTTTCCTGCTACACTACCTGTGCCACCTCTGTCTTCTTAAATTCCTCCAATGGCTGTCTTCCATCAGCCACAAGCTGGTCCTCAGAGTCCAGGTATACTGCTTTTTAGCTGCATTTCCTTCTGTTCTTGCCCTCTGCTCCGCCTTTCCCTTATGGGTTTAAGGCCACTTTGGCCATGGTCTTTGCCTTTTCCAGATCGCTCTCCAGATATTGATAACTATTCTGAAGAAGAGGACGACAGCTTTTCTTCAGAGCAGGAAGCCAGCGACGATGCAGTGCAAGGCCAGGTATCTGCCCACCTACCTCTTGCCTGTCTGTCTGTTACACTGGTGTCCCTCTTTTTCCTCTACGGAATGGGAGGGCAGACATTAGGTCTGTGGAGGCTACCATATTTCTTCTTGGAAGAATCCTAAGGTGGACCAGTCAGAACCAGATGCAAAAGAACAACATAGGCACACATGTTGTAGGAATTAAAGGACAGAAAGGAGTTTGTGATCCATCCCATAACTTACTATTTCAGAAAAAAAAATCCATTGGTGGTTCTCCCACCACCCCAGCTGTTTTAATGACTGAATCCTCATTCAGAAGGAAAAGGAAAGATGGATGTAACATGAAGCGTTATTTTCTGCAGTAAAAGAAGGGTAGTCTGGAGTGGGTAAGCTCCATTTCAGAGCAAATGGGGGGAGCTTGCTTAATCTAGACTACATTCCTACACTGCAAGAAAAGAGGGTGGGTTTGCTGATCTACAAAATTGCCCAAAGTTCTACCAATAGACACTGACCTACCTTCGGCCCGCTCCCCTCCTTGAGATAAGGACACAGCATGCATGCCTTTCTTGTTCTCCCTGAGCTATCCTTTCCAGCTATTAAGGAGTGATTGCTTTGATGCCCTGCACAACTTTTCATTTCTGCCTGCTGATGATACCTTTGCTCCTGCTTTGGCAGCTTACATGTAACTAATCTATGTGCTTTGTAGTTGGACTCTCATTAGAGTGTTCCCATTCAAAAGAGACAAAAAGAGAGAAGGTTGAAAAGGGACAGAGAGCAGATGACTACTGTATTAGGGTAGGAGAGAAACCCAGGAGATTTGGAATGTGAAGGGGTTTCTTCCTGCTGTGCAACTAGCATTTTATAATGAAGCTGTAGTTTTATGCTTTTTATCCTCCTCCTTCCTTACCTATTTGGATAAATGATGGGTTTTAAAACCAGACCATTGCCATAGATGTAGGTTCTACCATAGTGGTTCTCAGCCAGTAGTACATGTAACACTGGTGGGTCTTAGCAAGTGATTTCTTAACAATTACTGTGATCTTTTGACATGCTGGTAATAATTGTGGACAGCCAGTGTTTTTTTCAAACCCTGTTCCCCTGCTCGTCAACTTGTCATGATGATAAGTATAGCCATTGATAAATAGTGGACAGCCAGTGTTTTATAAATACAGTGGTGCCTCGCATAGCGAGGTTAATCCGTTCCGGATTAACCCCCGCTATGTGAAAACATCGCTGAACAGATCAAGAAAACCCATTGGAATGCATTAAACATCGTTTAATGCATTCCAAATGGGCCGAAAACTCACCGTTCAGCAATGTTTTCCTATGGCCGGCAGCCATTTTCGCGCCCTCCCCTCGCTTACCGAGGGCACGAAAACGCTGCCATTTCGGGGCTTCCGGCAGCCATTTTGGAGCCGCCGAACAGCTGATCCGCGGGGCGCAAAGCGAAGGTCGGTAAGCGAAACGCTTACCGACCTTCGCTATGCGAGTTTCGCCCATTGGGGCCATCGCTTTGTGATCGCAGTTGCGATTGGAAAAAACCCTTCGCTATGCGGATTCGTCGTTCTACGGTGCGCTTCTTAAGCAAGGCACCACTGTATCTGTGCTTGCGTGGGGGGGAGTGGGCCTTTTCTTTCTAGCAAAGCACTCAGGTTCCCAACAGATTTCATAGTGCAGTCAGACCAAAAGGAATGATGGGAGCCTTGTGGTATTAGAAGTGGATTCTGGCAACAAAGGCTACTCAGGGAAGGCTACCTGTCTTGTTGTGAGCTACTCAATAACCCCTGGATCTCATCCATGGGATCCTGCATTTATTCATTTATTTATTTTTGAAAATGTATACTCCACCTTTCTCCTGCATGTTGCTGAAGGCTCAAGGGGCATGTTCTTGGAAGCATCTGTGTCCAAAAGCTTGAGATAAGAATACAAGAAGAGCCATGTCGAAATGTGCCAAAGGCCCATCCATCTACTCTAGCATTCTCTTCACGACGTGGCCAACTGGTTACTTCTCTGGCTCATGGATAAGACATAGAAGTGCTAGTGCACTCTCCACCCTATATTCTCTAATGACTGATGTTCAGAGGCACTCCTGCCTGCCATGCTGGAGGTGATGCCTAGCCATTCTGACGAGTAACCATTGATGTCTCCAATCTCCATGAATTTATCTAATCCCCAGATAAAGCTGCTTATGTTGTCAGGGAATTACTACATCTTGTGGCTGTGACTTCCACAGTGTAATTGTGTAGGGATGTGCTTCATTTTCGTGACTTACATACACCCAGCTTTCCCAGTGGGTTGCAGATTTCAGGAGACCATTACATAGTGGTAGGCGAACCACCACAAGTGGTAGGCAAACCACCACAAGGAAGCGTGTCCCACCATGCCTGGTATTTTCCTTGAGGAGCCCTGAGAAACAAAGGTTGAAAACCCCTGGTTTAGGCTGTTAGAACTCTTCTAATTATGTGCTGCCCTCTCTTGCTGTTCAGGATTTATATGATGAAGAAGATGAAGTGAGAAAACCGAAGAAAGCCAGGCGGAAAATGATTAGAACCACATCAATGACCAGAGTAAAGTCAACCTTTCTTCTCTTTTTAAAGGAGAGATCACTAGAGACGCTGTATACAAGTAGTGCTCTGGATAATGAAGTCTCAGGCCATGGCAGGACTGCCTAGCCACTACATTCCTTGACTTTATGCGCCTGCCTAGAGTTGTCAAGGAACACTCCAGAAGCTGTTTTCTGATATATTCCCTAAGATTAGTAGAAGTAGAATAGCTTATGCCAATTTAGACAGTTTGGTTTATCTGCCTAGTTTGCACAAATTTCAGAATTCAGAAACTCTGTTTGTCACATAGGGAGCCTCATACAGCCAAAATATAATCAGAGAAGATTTTCAGCAGGCTTTGGAAGCTCCCAGTTTTTGCAAAAATACAAGCACTTGTGTGTGTATTTAAAATGGAAAGTGGATTACTTACAGATTTTTTTAAAAAGGGTATCCATATGCCCATGTACACAGATTCGTTTATCTACCCTAGTTATTTTGGACAAGCTTTTGTCCCACTCAGCACTCATACAGCATGGTCATTGGCAAATTCTGTCTTCCATGTGACCCAGTGCATTCAGTTTGAAGCACGCTGCACTTTCTCTTGGCAAAATCACAGGTGAAAAACCTTTGTGGTGCTTTCCAGTGAGTTGACATTTTACATTTTTGGCACATGCATGCCTTTATTTTGCTCAGTTTCCTGCTCCTTCCTTCTGCCCACGGTCCGTCCATCTATATATAGAACTGCTGGATAGCTCAGTGATTTAGGTATCAGGCTGTGGAGTCAGAGGTTGGGAGTTTGATTCCCCACTGTGCTTCCTTGATAGAGGTTGGGCTTAATGATCCATAGGGCTCTTTCCAGCTCTGCGGTTCTAAGATGGTGGTGGCGGTGGCGGTGATCATACATAGCTGTCCGCACAGCAGGCTTTCCACCTCTTCACTCAATAGCACACATTCTTCTGCTGCTTTTGCAGGCCTTTGGGCATGATTGGAGGGATGGCTTCTTTGAGGAATGACAGCTTTGTCCACTGTGAGATGATAATGGACCTTCACATTTTCACATAAGCAAACGCCTACTCACAAACAATCATGGTACTTACTTGTTCTCATCAGTGCCCAGAATTTTCCTGCTGCTGGCCCCTCCATCTTATTTAGGAGCTGTGTGTTGTGCTATTTTTGTTTCTCTCTGGCATCTTAACAGATGGTCAGAAGAAGGATAGTGTTGATAGGCAACACAAGTGAACACATGGCTTCTATAATAGGAAAAGATATGAGCATTTACCCCAGAATCAACCATGTATTGCATTTCCTTCTCCCCTCAAATAGTGCCTGTATATGTGTCATTTTGAAAGTGGAAATGACTGCAGAGTGGCCTCCAGTTCTGGAGAGTAAGGGGAAAGGCTGAAAAGGTCCACACTCACACATATACACATATGAAATCAGGACCAATAGCTTGCTTTAGAGGAGTATTATGAGTAGCAATTCAGGAGAGATTAGTCAGCTTGCAGAACTCCAAGACTGCTGTGCCCAAAATCCAGAGCTTGGGCCTACCTGGAGGTGTTTTGGCTTGTCTATCAATTGAACCTTGGTCCCTTTCAGAAGAAGTATAAAAAAGCACATGTATTGCTGGCAAGATTTTTTGGGTTTACAATTCCCAGAGACTCCAGTCAACATAGTTAGTGGCCATGCTGGTTCATTGCTTCTGGGAGCAGTAATCCAGAAGAATGACTTTTCCAAGTTCCAGTGTTTGCAACCAGGCCAGATAGAACATTGGAAGCTTCTGACACTCATGTTTATTTCCTTTTTCTTTAGCAACCTAACTTCAAGCAGAAATTTGTTGCCTTGCTGAAAAGGTTTAAAGTGACTGATGAGGTAAGAAGTTGTGAGCCTTTTTCTGTTAGATGTGAAGGCGAGTCTTTTCTGTTCTTCTGAAACTTGACTCATTTTGTACCTGTGATCAGGCATGCCATCTGGATGTCACGTATATCAGTGTCCCTCTTGCCTGGGGAAATGAGATCAAAGCATCAGCACTCTTAGAGAGTTAGCATATAATACAACAATTTACCTAGAAACAAACAAGAGATCTTTGACTGTGACTGTTTGATGGCAGGAGCTGTAACTCAGTGGTCTGAACACATGCTTTGAATAGAGATGGTGTAATCTCCAGTAAGTCATAGTCTATTCAGGCAGTGGGGAATCTATGTCTCTCCAGATATTGTTGTACAGTGGTGCCCTGCTTAATGATTACCCTGCTCCATGACGAAATCGCTTCACAATGATCACAAAACGATATTTAAATAGGAAAAAACCACTTGATGATTGATTTTTTGCTTAACGATGATCAGAAAACAGCTGATCGTTGGGTTTCAAAATGGCTACCCACTGTGCAGAATGGCTCACCGCTGTGTTAAGGACAGATTCCTCACATTACAGGCACCAGAAAATGGCCGCCCTATGGAGGAACTTCGCTGAACGGTGAGGTATTTCGCCCATTAAAAGCAAAAAAACAAAAAAAGCATAGCGTGCTGCTTATATACCGCCCCATAGTGCTTCAAGCATTCTCTGGGCAGTTTACAAGTTAATTATGCAGGCTACACATTGCCGCCCCCCAGCAAGCTCGGTACTCATTTTACCGACCTCAGAAGGATAGAAGGCTGAGTCAACCTTGAGCCGGCTACCTGGGATTGAACCCCAGGTCGTGAACACAGTTTTGGCTGCAGTACAGCAGTTTAACCACTGCACCATGAGGCTCTCTAGAACGCATTAACCAGTTTTAATGCATTCTAATGGGTTTTTTACTATCGCTTGATGATGATTTTGCTGGAACGGGTTATTGTCGTCAAGCGAAGCACCACTGTACTGTATCTTCCATTATCCCTGACCACCGCTTATGCTAGCGGGGCTGATGGGATTTGGAGTCCAACCATATATGAAGGGACATGGGTTCCCCATCCAGAATCTGTGCCCTCCAGAGGTATGAGACTGCAACTCCCATTATCCCCAGCCAGTGTGCCCTTCAGGAGGATACCGAGTTGCAGAAAGGTTGCAGTAAACATTGTTGGGCTAAGTACTGAGATGGGACATGTTACTTTTGTTGGCCTACAACTATCAGAATGCATCAACTATCATGTTCAGTGCGGTAAAAAACAAGGACAATCCCCTGTGTCTGGCTGAGTATGGAGTTGGTTCATACATTCATAGGCAAGGTACAAACATAATTTTCACTGTGTCCTCTTCTTCAACTCCACATGCAGAGAAGTGGATTAACTAGCTTCCCTGCCCCTGTTCTTGCAGTGTATTTGGTGGTTTTCATTTTCTGCCCATTTTTTAAAATCTTGCTAGGTTCCCTTTTAATCATTTTCCCCCCTGTCTTCATTTAGGTTTCACGGCTTTCCTCATTAGTAATATCTGCAAATGCCATTAACACTCTGTTTTAATGCTGTCTTTTCTGGGTGAAAGAAAGAAAAACAGCTCCTGCCAAAAATGTTTCCCTGTGACCAGTGTGTTTCTCATCGTCAGGTTCATTATTATCCTTTTTGGCTTCTGCTTCTCTGCAGTGTTCAGGTCACTGAAATGTTATCGTTATGGGTTTCCACACCCTTAATTGTCCTAGCAGATCCTGCCAGGTCATAGCCATTGTTGTGAAGGAGGGGCGCACAGGATAATTCCAACCTTCCTGTTGTCTCTTAGGTGTCACAGTGCTAATGGGCAACATCAGAGGTGGCTGTATCTCTTGAAAAGGAAACTGGATGCAATTGTCTGATTTTGAATGGCTGGAAAACACCATGTGAGGACATTGGTGGGCTAGATCCATAACCAGGCTGCCTGGGGAGTTTGGTGTGAGCTTAGTCCAAAAAAAGTAACCCTTCTGAGCTGAGCTGTAGTCGTTAATTAGTCATCTTGTGAGGAGAGTGGAGATGGCTTTTTCCTAGTTTCGTTGAATGATCGCTGATTCTCTATGGATTGTTTTTGCCTGGTGGTAAAGCAGGCTCACTAGTTTAATGCAACGGGCTCCTATGAAAATGGCAGTACTTCTGAATCCTCCAGTTTTCATCCTGTAATCTGGTTGGAATGTTTTGATGCCACAGATGCTTACTATGTGCCATAACAACACTTTCCAGAAAAGCCAGGTTGAATCCATAGTGACTCTTGTCATAGTATGGAGTAGTACAGCGATTCAAACATGGCGCCCAATTGAGCTCTCTTCTGCTCTGGTTTTCACAGATACATTGCTGTTTCAGGCGATAAAGGGATGGGCCTTTTTTCCTGCCAGTTGCCTGCTGATCCCTTCTCTGCCTTCCCCATTCACTACCACACTTGCTCTTCCCTCAACTGCTGTCAGATCTTCTTTTTTCTCCCCCCCCCTTTTATACCTACATACACACATGCAGATAACTAATTCCACATTTAAACCTGTATTTAAAACCACACATCCAAAGATCTACACAAACACTTACAGTATTTTAGAAAATTAAAAAGTGAGGCTGAGAGTGAGCCATGATGTTTTCCACTATGTGAGGTTGTGCCCAGCTCCTGACAGGCCCACGGCGACAGAGTGCACGCACTTACTGCACCACAGTAGACCAGATTAAAACAGAAAGAAGCACTGCAACTTGGCTGGGTGTTACAAGGGGGTCTACGCTGTTTGTAGCTATCCCTCAGCATAGAATTTTCTTGGTTGATTGCAATGGTGTCATTTCAGCCAAGCCCGGACTTGGCATCAGATGTCAAGCTTGGCAATAATGAGTACAGGGGACTCCTTGTGCTATGGCAGTTTTTTGATATATAGCAGGGTCCTTTCTGGGATGTAAGATCTATGAACCTTGGTAAGCTGGATGTGGTCAAACAGGAGATGGCAAGAATAAACATTGACATACAAGGTGTTAGTGAACTAAAATGGACGGAAATGTGCAAATTCAATTCAGATGATTATCATATCTACTATTGTGGGCAAGAATCCCGTAGAAAAAATGGAGTAGCCCTCATAGTCAACAAAAGAGTGAGAAAAGCTGTACTGGGATACAATCTCAAAAATGATAGAATGATTTCAATACGAATCCAAGGCAGACCTTTCAACATCACAGTAATCCAAGTTTATGCACCAACCACTGATGCTGAAAAGGCTGAAATTGACCAATTCTATGAAGACTTACAACACCTTGTAGAACTGACACCAAAGAAAGACGTTCTTCTCATTACAGGGGACTGGAATGCTAAAGTAGGGTGTACTCATCCTTAAGTCTCGAGAGACTATGGTAACGTGCTTTGTATGGAGGATGTGGAACAGAGTCTAGTGTGGCTTACAGTAGGGAGTCAAGAGATAAAAGGAACAACAGGTAAGTTTGGCCTTGGAGTTCAGAATGAAGCAGGGCAAACGTTAGTAGAGTTTTGTCAAGAGAACAAGTTAGTCACCATAAACACTCTTTTCCACAACACAAGAGGCGAGTCTACACATGGACATCACCAGATGGGCAATACCGAAATCAGATTGATTATATTCTCTGCAGCCAAAGATGGAGAAGCTCTATACAGTCAGCAAAAACAATACCTGGAGCTGATTATGGCTCTCAATATCAGTTTCTTATAGCAAAACCTGAGCTTAAACTGAAGAAAGTAGGAAAAACCACTGGGCTAGCCAGGTACAGGAGGCAGCAACGAAAACATGCCAAAGAAAAGGAAAAGCAAGAAAGCAAAGTGGCTGTCCAATGAGGCCCTACAAATACCAGACAAGAGAAGGGAAACAAAATGCAAGGGAGATAGGGAAAGTTACAGAAAATTGAATGAAGACTTCCAAAGAATAGCAAGGAGAGACGAGACGGCCTTCTTAAATGAACAGTGCAAAGAAATAGAGTAAAATAATAGAAAGGGAAAAACCAGAGATCTGCTCAAGAAAATTGGAGATATTAAAGGAACATTTTGTGCAAAGATGGACATGATAAAGGACAAAAATGGGAGGGACCTAATAGAAGCAGAAGATATCAAGAAGAGGTGGCAAGAATACACAGAGGAGTTATACCAGAAAGATCTGGATGTCCCAAACAACCAAGATAGTGTGGTTGCTGACCTGGTGCCAGACATCCTAGAGAGTGAAGTCAAGTGGGCCTTAGAAAGCATGGCTAAGAACAAGGCCAGTGGAGGTGATGGTATTCCAGTTGAACTATTTAAAATCTTAAAAGATGACGCTGTTAAGGTGCTGAACTCAACAGTCAAGTGGCCCTTAGAAAGCATGGCTAAGAACAAGGCCAGTGGACGTGATGGTATTCCAGTTGAACTATTTCAAATCTTAAAAGATGACGCTGTTAAGGTGCTGCACTCAAATGGAAAAGATCAGTCTACATCCCAATCCCAAAGAAGGGCAGTGTCAAAGAATGCTCCAACTACTGTACAATTGCACTCATTTCACACGCTAGCAAGGTTATGCTCAAAATCCTCCAAGGCAGGCTTCAGCAGTATGTGGACCGAGAACTCCCAGAAGTACAAGCTTATGTTGCAGCACGACAGATGTTAGTACAAGCTTGATTTCGAAGGGGCAGAGCAACTAGAGACAATTGCTTACATGCGCTGGATTATGGAGAAAGCCAGAGAGTTCCAGAAAAACATCTACTTCTGCTTCATTGACTACGCAAAAGCCTTTGACTGTGTGGACCACAAGCAAACTATGGCAAGTCTTTAAAGAAATGGGAGTGCCTGACCACCTTATCTATCTACTGAGAAATCTATATGTGGGACAGGAATCCACAGTTAGAACTGGATATGGAACAACTGATTGGTTTAAAACTGGGAAAGGAGTACGACAAGGCTGTATATTGCCCCCTGTTTATTTAACTTATATGCAGAATACATCATGCAAAAGGCTGGACTGGAGGAATCCCAAACTGGAATTAAGATTGTGGAAGAAATATCAACAACCTCAGATATGCAGATGATACCACTCTGATAGCAGAAAGTGAGGATGAATTAAAGAACCTCTTAATGAGGGTGAAGGAGGAGAGCGCCAAAAATGGTCTGAAGCTCAACATCAAAAAAACTAAGATCATGACCCCCGGACCCATCACATCCTGGCAAAGAGTAGGGGAAGATATGGAGGCAGTGACAGACTTTACTTTCTTGGGAACCATGGTCACTGCAGATGGTGACAGCAGCCATGAAATTAAAAGACACCTGCTTCTTGGGAGGAAAGTGATGACAAACCTAGACAGCATCTTAAAAAGCAGAGACATCACCTTGCCAACAAAGGTCCGCATAGTCAAAGCTATGGTTTTTCCAGTAGAGAAGTATGGAAGTGAGAGCTGGACCGTAAAGAAGGCTGACCACCGGAGAATTGATGCTTTTGAACTTTAGTGCTGTAGGAGACTCTTGAGAGTCCCCCAGACTGCAAGGAGAACAAAACTATCCGTTCTGAAGGAAATCAACCCTGAGTGCTCACTGGAAGGACAGATCCTGAAGCTGAGGCTCCAATACTTTGGTCATCTGATGAGAAGAGAAGACTCTCTGGAAAAGACCCTGATGTTGGGAAAGTGTGAAGGCAAGAGGAGAACATTGCCATCAAAGCGACCAACGTGATTTTGAACGAACTCCAGGAGGCAGTGAAAGACAGGAGGGCCTGCCATGTTCTGATCCATGGGGCCACAAAGAGTCAGACATGACTTAACGACTAAACAAAACAACAAGGGTCCTTTCTGCTTAGCACTAATAGATAGGTGTACAGTGGTGCCTTGCTTAGCGATTGCTTCATTTAACAATGTATTCGCTTAGCGATGGTTTTTTTTGAGGAATTTCCCGCATCGTTTAACAATGTTCTCTATGGGCGATTTTCACTTAATGATGTCCGTTCAATGGATTCCAATGGGGGGAAAATTCACCAAAAATTAACGAAGACTCAGAACAAAGCCAAATTAAGTTTGCAAATGTTTCACAAGGTGCACTAGCGATTCCAAGCATTTAAAACAGGTTTCAAACATGTTAAGACACTTTTAAATGAGCGAAAATGGACATCGCAAAGCCATTGAAATGCATTGAATAGGCTTCAATGAATTCCAATGGGGGAAACATTGTTTCGCTTAGCGATGTTTCCTATGGTGATTTTCGCTTAAGGATGGTAATCCGTTCCCATTGGAACGGATTAACCGGCTTTCAATGCATTCCTATGGGAAATGGTGTTTCACTTAGCGATGTTTTCCCATAGCGATGTTTTTTTTTAACCAATTAACATCGTCAAGCGAGACACCACTGTATTTTCAAAATACACTGAATGCCAACAATGTTTTTAGCATTAATATTTAGCAGGGTACTCATCTATATATTTATTTTTTTCTGATTTTTTAAAATCATGAGACATTTTATTTATTTTTTCTTACCCGTTATCTATCATAGAGCTCAACGTGGTCTGAGTAAGGATGTGCCCAATGATTTTCCACCCAGGCACTGATCATTAGCAGACATACTTTGCTCTAGTGTGTGACTTCAGACCATGTCCCGGTATCACAGATATTCGAAGATAAGCTGCTTGAGTGGTTTCACAAACTTTCATGTGTCTCCAAAGCCAAATGCACTCACTCATTCACACACTTTCTCTGTATTGCTTGCATGCCTTCTGTCTCATACCTACGTACATTTCTCTCTCTCTCTCTCTCTTTGTTTCATATACTTACTAACACTTTCTGAGCCCCCTCTTCTCTCATGTACATATACTTTCTGTTTCTCTTAAACATCCGTTCTTTCTTCACTAGATAACTATACTGTGAAGTAATTATTTGTATATATGAATTGGCAATTCATACTGAATTGACAACTTCTGTCTCATCAGAAACAAAGAGATCAATTCAAACACACACAGGAGGAAGTATGGGGTACATGTATGTGTGGTGCACACATCACACAATTGTTTAAAAAACAGGAGACAAGTGCATATATAAGACAGCTCAATGGTGAAATACATACACTGTAGCATGCATGGTTTTAACCACTGTGTCACTTTTCCTGGTTTGTGTCACGCAGGTTTTGGATTCTGACCCAGTGGATCAGACCCAAGAAGTGGAGGAAGACTTGGGCCTGCTTTACGATAGCCTTGAGGAATGCAACAACAGTGACAGTGGCCCCGAGATAGAGGATAATGAAAGTGTCCACAGCACTCCCAAGCCTACCCTGAGGTAAGAGTTGGCAGAGAAGATGCCAGTCCTGCCACCTCTGGCCCCGTGGGGGCTGGCCACCGAAAGTTTTGGGGGTCGCCAGGGTTTTTCCTCTGTGCTTCAGAGACCTCCATCCTCCCTCTCCAATGATAAAAACAATCTGCCTCCCTGCAGAAATTTGGCAGAACAGTCCTGGACAGGTCATCTTAGAAGTAAGCCCTTTCATCAGACTTACCTCATGCAAGTGTATTCAAGATTGTAGCTTTCATTTTAACTTTTCCACGGCTGGGCTTTTTTTGCTGGCGCTGTGACACCAGGGTGTGGAGCTGATGACTTATGGGACACGGCTACTGGGTTTTTGATTCATTCACTGGGAAAAGGAGGTTTGGGGCTATAAAGTAGCTGGGTGATAAATGCTGATAACTTGAGGCTGACCTTGGATTTGACAGGCTGATCGAGAGCCCTGAGTAAGCTGCAGCAGACCAGCAGGGATTGATGGAGCAGCAAACTGAGGAGAGCTGGGCCTCATAAGTTAAAAACCCAGCCGCCCCTCCTTCAGAACCAGGCCTTTTCCTTTCATGTGTGAGAAAGTCAGCAAGAGGCAGGGAGACAGGGATTGTTCTCTCTTGAGCTTACTACAGGAGAGGTTGGATTGTCTCTTTTGGTGCCCGTGTTTACGTAACCTCTGCTCCTGAAGGCCACACTTCCTGTTCTGATGGTTTTGAGGACAATTATGTGGCCATCTGTGAGACAGAATACAAGGGCACACTTGTTTGTGCACTTACATCCCTGTATTTTGCTCTGGATTAGAGGAAGGACCAGCACATCTGCTTTGCCTGCTCAAGATTCAAAGAAGTAAGATTCCTGCTTGAAACCCTGCAGAACCACTGGCAGTAGCATCTGATCCAATATAAGGCAGCTTCCTAGATTCTTGTGCATTCCTTCTGATCTTGCATAATTCTTTGCAAAGATCGTCACAGAGCTGGAACTGTGGAGCAAAAAGAGGGGTTTGAAAGGGTCAACGAACTGGACAACCTTCCATTAGGAGAGAAAAAAGGTGGGTGGGTGAGTCTTCCTCAACCCATCACTGCCCTGTTGTGGCAAATTACAAATGTCATCATACCCACTGTATGTTGGGGTTGTAGGACTTGACACTTTTGTTGGGCGGGGGTGTCCTGTTGGGAAAGCTGGGCTTTCTCTCTTAGGAAGAAACATTCCTAAGTTGTGATAGGTGAGAATGGGAATCTGTGATAGAGGTTTATAAAAGAATCTCCCACCAAGTGCATTTAGCCTACCCTTCTGCTCTTGCAGTGTGCTTCGTTGAGGGAAGGGGGGCAGTTGGCCTACAGCTCACAGAACCGCATAGCCAGCATGATCAGTGACCTGTTACCCTCTCCACTCATCTGTTTCCCATCTTTGACCATTCAGACACTGTTTGAAAGAAGTATCTTGTGAGGCAGCCTGTTCTTTTATCAAGCAGCGCCTACAAACAAATCAGTAACGTCTTCCTAACATTTAGTTTAAATCCCCTTCATGTAATTTGAACCCCTTGGTTTGGGGCCCTACTCTCTAGAGCAGATTTGCCCCATCACCCATGCAGTAGCTTATCATATATTTGAAATGGCTATCCTGTTACCCCTTCAGTCATCTCTACTCTAGGCCACCTGTACCTGCATCCTTTTGTCTTGGCTCATAGGACTTACTTTCTAGGCCTTTCAATATCTGGGCTATGAAATGCCTTTTTTCTGAAGTGGTTGGCATCAACTGCTGGATATTAGGGAAACTCTCTTGTTATAACTGCCAGTTGATGGAACTTCTGTTTTACAGCAAAGTGGTTTTGTTTTATAAGTCCAGAAATGGTCCTTCCCATTTCTTATCCTCAAGCCGCATTTGTTGTTGTCTACAAAACAGTTGCTCAAGTGTCACAGGAGCTGGTGTAGAAGGTCAAGTTTATGTCTTGGACATCTTACATCAGGAGCAGTGTTGCAGAACTTAATCCCAACTTGTTACGACCATAGTGCAAAAATCCAGTGCAGTTAATAGTCCCAAGTCCATGCAATTTGGTTATGCCAAGGCGCCCATCTATTCTAAAATCCAGCTGCAACTTAGAGCCAAGGCAGATCCACTTATCTTTGATCCTCTCTTATTAAGGTACTTCTGGATGACATTTTACTTAGAAACGTGACCATGGGATCAGAGCAGCATTTGGGTCAGCCTTCCACATGTTTTTAAGCATGGAATTTTATGTGTTGGAATGCTTCGGACCACGCCTTCCATTTGTAGCCGGTGGCTTCCCATTCATTCTTCTTCGTTTCCTTACTAGAACAAAAAAATCTAGTTGCTTCCAGATGGAGTGTTGCTCTTGCATGCACTCAAAGAACACGAGGTGGCTGCACATGTCTGAGCGTCCTGTAACATTCTGTGAATGGGGCGATGTGTCTGCACCATAAAACCTAGTCTCGAAATACTCCCTATCTGGGAGTAAAAGAGAACAAGTTTACATGGCCTTTTGTTTGGTACTGCTAGGAGACTCCTACCTGGAAGCACCATTTGGTACTTGGGTATCTTGGGCCTGTTTATTCCCCACCATAACCTTTTCAAAAGCATTTGAGGATTCCCCACTTTGCTTCTCTGGGATACGGGTGGGCAACCCCTAGGCCACAGGCTGCGAGAGTCTGCCTGCTTTTTCCCCCCTCTCTCCAAAGCCACCGCCATCAAACTCCTGCTTCTTTGGCTGAAAAATCTTAATTTGTTGGGAGAGACAGGTTGTTTTCCTCATTTGAGCATAGAGGTGCTTTGCTCCGTTGTGCCCTTTCTCTGCTACAAAATAACATGATTTTTGTTTTTATTTTTATCATTACTCTACTCACCGGGATCTGGCCCTTCCCTCTTGGCACCGCTGCCTTCCCTTCCTTCACCCCTTCCCCTTTCTTTCTGGTGCACAAGGTGATGGGTTCTGGGCTCGCTTGCAGTGTTCCCAGGGAGGGGAGGGGACCGAAGCTGGGGAGGGATTTGCACTGGGTGACTTCTAGTGCCTTCACTTCCTCCTCACTTTTCTTTCTGTCCGTCTCTGTCTGTCTGTCTGTCCATCTGTTTCTTCTGCAGGCGCTTCTTTGAGGGCGTCTCTCACTCTGGTTCCCAGACTGAGATCAGTAGTCTGCACGGCCCGAAGGGGCAGGAGCAAGAGTCGGGCAGCCCTGTGAGTTGTTACTCCTCCTCCTCCTCCTCCTCCTCTTCTTCTTCCCCTTTCTGCTTTGGAGCTTGGAGAAGTCACTTTCTGGGACAACCACGCCCGCCATTCCTGCCCGTCATCAGCACCAGCATCCATGTTGGCTGGGGAGGGGGGGAATGATTCAGGCATATGTTGCCCCTCAAAGCCACTTTTCCAAGATCTTTTCTGCCTGGGCCTCCCCTCCAGAACTTATATGCTGTCAAAAACAATCCTTGCTATATTTCTTTCTCCTTTTCCTGTCTTTGGATAAGCTGCTTTCTTCCCCCCCATATAGGATTGGTGAGTTAGAAGCAGGCCAGCAGTACTGCTTGCTCGGCCAGTATCGCCTCGGTCCTTGCCGTTTGGGAGGGTTGATGGTTTTGCCCACATAAACTCTCTCGGGGTGCCAATGTCTGCTTCTAGCACCCTGGCCTATGTGGAAGCAGGGTGTATGTTCTCTTGGGCTTTAAGACCCCACTGTCTTTGGAACCACCTTGACATTGTTTCTTCCTTGAGGATCCTTGCTGTTTGAAATCCCTACTACTAACCAGATTTCCCCCCCCTTCCCTGTCTCCCACCCCATACCTTCTTGCCCTCCCCCATTTGCCCAGGGAGAAGCAGAGAAGCGGAAAGTGGGTGTTCCTCGTGCCCAAGATGCGACTGCCATGGAAACTCCAGCTATGGTGAATATGGTTTTTTGTAGCAGACCTTTTCAAGAGCTCCTTTCTGGGACTGCGGTGCTTAGATTTGCCAGTCACTCTGCTGGTTGAAAGGTTCCGGGAGTTGTTCTCAAACTTTTGGGACGCAAATATTTTATCTCTTTTGAGGGGGGAACCTTGCAGAGGATGGCAGTCATGGGAATGGCTATATTTATATCATCTGCTTGCTGGCAGCACTCCATGCAATGTTGTTCTGCGCTTCCAGCATATGGCATGCCTTTGAACTGATCATTTCCCAGAGCTCCTGTTATTAGTCTTCCTCCCCCCCCCAAGTGCCCCGTGCTCCAGCAGCAGATAAGCATGACCATGGGAGCAGAGCACTCTTTGGGTCAGCATTCCACATGTCCTGCTGGGGTGGGGGGAGAGAGGGAGGGAGGCAAAAGGATCCTGTCATTTTCAAAGACGTCTCTGCTCCCACAATCCAGTCCAAAGATTACCAGTAGCTGCCCTGGCCAGGCGCCTTCTAATGCTACATTAATCCACAAGGGGGCAGCACCGTGCATATTTGATCCCAGGCAGAGAGAAGCTCTCTTTGTATCAGGGTATCTTGCCCTTTCTTCAGCTATATTTGACCTGCCTCCCTGAATTTTTATTTCCCTCATTGAAAAGCATTGGACTGTCCGTCCAATGCTTTTCAATGAGGGAAAAAACAAAAAATCACCAAAAATTAACGAAGACTCAGAACAAAGCCAAATTAAGTGTGCATAGGTTTCACAAGGTGGACTACCGAATCCAAGCATTTAAAACATGTTCCAAACATTGTAAGACACTTTTAAATGAGCGAAAACAGACATCAGAAAGCACAATCCAGTCCAAAGATTACCAGTAGCTGCCCTGGCCAGGCGCCTTCGAATGTTACATTAATCCACAAGGGGGCAGCACCGTGCATATTTGATCCCAGGCAGAGAGAAGCTCTCTTTGCATCAGGGTATTTCGCCCTTTCTTCAGCTATATTTGACCTGTCTCTCTGTCAAAGATAGAAACAAAACAAAACAAAAACCACCTTTAGTTTTCTGAGAAGGACCTCAATAGCTTTACAGACATTCTGTTATATATGGACCATTTATAGTATTATAGCCCAGCCAGATGTTGTAGTAAAAGCCTGGAAATAAAATCACAAACTTGTAAAACCAGCTGGGGGTGTTTTGGTGTCAAATTTCATCTTACGGCTAGAGTTAGTTGTCTTTCTCCCAATTCTGTAGTCGAAGCCACATGGCTTTTTTTTTAAGCGCATGGCCTCTGCTTGGGCTGGGGGGAAGGATCCAGAAATATGGAAGTCCCCATATCAGTAAAACAGGAGATTACGTTTAGTGGCAGGCTGGGCAAAAAAACATTAATAGTCATTTAAGGTATTACCTAGGGAGTAGAGGGAAGTGGAGCCCTCCGTGTGGTATAGTATGGTTCTTGAGTGATGATAGATCTGCCGGCACTAGTTGCAGACCCTTGCCTTGATGGCTGTGTAGAGTTTGTTCCATAGTCAAGCAAGCAAACCGACCGACCGCCTGGTGGTTCTTATACAAAATCCAAGGACAAGGACCACAATACTCGTTTGTCTTGTGAGTGTTACTAAATAGTCCATGGCTGTAAGGATGAGTAGGAGATGGCATGTCACAGTTGTAGGACATGGGGATTGAGAGAGAGTAAACTCCTTAGTAACTATCACTGTAATGCTGGCCAGAATCCTGTCCATACAAGGTGTATGTAACATTTCCTGGCTGACTCAGGCCAATAGATGGGGTTCTGGGGCATGCCTCAGTTGTGTGCTTGTTTAAGTACCCAGCTTCATAACCAAGATGCATTCCAGAACTTTATCAATTAGTTCCAGTCAATTACTGCTATTTAGCAAATGATAATAGCATTCTGGCACCTGTGTCACACCTCTGACAACTTTGGTGTTCTACTGGTGCTACATGCAACAGTAGTTAAGGACCACTGCTCTAGACAATGTTCCATTTTTCTTCATGGCCTCATCTTCTCTCATGCTGACTTAGGCTGCCCAGAGCGGCTCTGGAGAACGGTGAGCTGGGAAACAAGAAAATGTCAAGAGAGAAAAATGACTATTTCTTTGCCTGGTGGGATAGCCAACGTGTCCGAAGGTTTTTTTGTTGTGGTGATTGCAGAAGGGACATGGGTCTGGTGAACCAGCTGCTTAGCATTCTCATAGAGCTCAAAACAAAACTCGAAGTCCTCTTCCACATCTCCTAATCTTTCTTGCACATTTCCTCAGGAGTTGGAAGCAGATGAATCCTGCCCAGGAGGACCCTCTGAGACGGTCCTGAAGGAGAGCAGTGTGGACAGGCTAGCCCAGCTGAGCAACATCAGCAAGCCGGAGTTCCCAGCTACTGTTTCCCCCAGGTAAGGTTTAGGCTTCTTGGTGCCTGGTTCCTTGGATGAAGCTTGCCAGAAAACAAACCATGTTGGCTTCATAAGTAAGAAATAACTCTTGACCATGATGGTCTGTGCTGAGATGCGTGTTCTTTGGTTTAAGTTACATTACAGGTAGAGTTCCTTTACAGGGAGAATC